CATTGCTCATCAGCAGCCTGTGCAGTTCTTTCTTTCCTCCCCCCTGCAATGTAGCTGGAATCCAGCAGGGGAGCAACTGAACAGGTGAAGCAGAGAAGGGGAAGCAGATGGTCAGAGCATTGGTGCTGGAATACTTTCAGTGGGGGGATACTAAAAGCCAACCCCCTTAACCGATCTGCCGGTCCCATCCTGAGCTGGGACCTGGAGCAGGGCGTGTCTCTGGAAGGGAGGGGGGAGACCCAGACAGAAGTAATGGGGCTGAGGCTGGAACCGCAGGTAAGGGTAGGTGTGGGTCCAGCAGCTGGGACCAGTTGGGAGGCCAGAAGCCAGGAACCCAGGTGCAGTTTCAGCAACTGGGATGCTGGGTGCAGAGTCAGCAGTGGAACCCACATGCAGGCAGGGCCATCCTTAGATATATGTAGCATATGTAGTTGTGTAAGGCCCCCGAAAATTAGGAGCACCACCAAGATAGCAGATAAAAGCAGGTCAGTTCTCACACACCCAGTGCACACTGCACTCTTTTTAGGTAGGGGTCGTATTCACACAGCCAAATGTGCCAATGCAGTGCATTCTACATGAGAGAGAGGGTACGGGGATCTCTGCAGGGAACTGTAACTCTGCCACTGTTAGGTGGGCAGAGAAGCTTGGTGTCTTTTGCTATCTCATCCCTTCCCTCCCCCCCCCCAACGAGACTGTAAGTTTGGGCTACCGCAACGTCTACTATGCACAATGCTCAATGTGTCAGCAATGGGGGTGGTTCTTTGGAGAGATACCAGTTTAATAATACTGAATAGGGCTCCATAAATTTTAAGAATGGCCCTGCATGTGAAATCTGGGATTTGTGTAGCACCCCTGCATCCCTAGTTCCCGCGCCTATGGTTCAGCATGCTCTTTGCTCATGCCAGAACTTGTCCTAGGGCTGCAGGTGGGAGGCACTTGGGCAAACAACCTTCGTTCTCATTCCCATAGTGACAGAACTGGTTCAAACTCATCAGATTTAAAATTGCAGGGCTCAGGGATCATATTTTCAAATTGTAACCAAATACAAGTTTTCTTTTTAATGCATTTTGTCCTTGAAAGACACAAGTTAAAGCATTTAAGGCCACTGATTGGACATCACAACGTCACAGCATGTACTTGCTGTTCCTTATTGCTACTGTGGCAGTGGGCAGTGCTATCTTTGCCTAGCCAAGTCTCATGTAGTATGGTCCTCTCATGGCATTCCGAATAAATCAGAGATTTAAAGCTGTGTCCAAAGATCAATGGCAGCCTTGTATCTTCCAAATACTTATAGCACATGAGGTTATATTTATTGTATTGTGAATAGCAAATTATGCCTAGGTTTGTGAAGAGCATACAGAATATGGAAGTGAGAGTTTACTGAAGAGAGAGAGTGCATGTGTGTGTAAATAGATTTTATTTCTATTGTGTTTTTATTGGTATCTGTCTTCTTATTGTATGCAGGTTTGTTTATGCATGTTTCTATTACTGTGGGCCCATAGCTAGAGATGGGGCAAGGGCTACAACATGAATTGATGCTCTGGAGGTTTTCTGTGTAGGTGGTAATGCGGGGGAAGTTGCTGAAGTCATCTGTTGTCCAGTTCTTATCTGAGTGGTCTATTGGATCTGAGTTCAGGGCTGAATCTTTAATTAGACTAGCAATTATTCTTATTCCTATCCCTGCCTTATTCAAGAGTACCTTGTCACATAGGTGATTTTTTGTTGTCTATGTTACTATGCATCAGTGTCAGCATATGTGTGTGAATGTTAACGTATGTGTCTGTTTTGCTGTAAAGCAACATGTCTGTCACTGCAAGTGTCGGTAATGAGGAGGGTGTATGTGTGCAGCAATGAGAGTGTGATTGTCACTGCATGTCAGTATGAGAGGTATCATTGTCACTGTGCATGTCAGTATTGGTGTATGTTTGTGTGTGCAGCAGTGTGTGTGTTTGTGTGTGTTTTAGTGCCACTCCATGTTAGCACTGGTGTATGTGTGTATCACTATGTCAGTATTGAGGTTGTAAGTATCGGTAGCTCTAAGCGGTGCATGTGTTTCAGTATCGATGCACGAGTTAGTACTGGGAGTATATTATTGTTATTGTCAATGTCAGTGGTGCGGTGTCAGTGTCATTGAGTAGTAATGTGTGTTGGTGTGTTTACATTGACTGTGTGTGTTAGTACTGGTGTGCACATGTGTGTGCAGTTGTATGTGTATGTGTATCAATGTCTCTGTATGTCAATATTGGGGGGATGTCTGTCACTGGGTGGCTCTGTGTGTGTGCATGCATGTGCAGGGCCACTGATGGGGAAGGGGCAAAAGGAGCAATTGCTCTGGAGCCAAGTGATTCAAAAGGGCCCAGGACTCCTGGCTGCCACTTTTACTGTGACAACAGCAGTGGCTGGAGCCCTGGGCCTTTTAAAGTGCCACCGGAGCACCATGCAGTGTGCTGCAGGGGACTTTGAGGCCTGACAGGAGGGAAGGGGGAGCGCTGCCCCCAGCCTTCTCCCTTCCATCCAAGGCCTCGTACCTTCAAGAGCCTTTCCTTGCCCAGGGGCCCAGCAAGTGTGTCAGCCCCACAGTGTGCGTCAGCACATGTGCGTGTTCATGTGTGTGTGTGTGTATGTGTGTGTGTGAGAGAGAGAGAGAGAGTCACTGAATGTCAATTTTGGGGTTATCTGTATCATTGGTAGCCATATGCTTTGGGATGTGTGTCATTATGACTGTGTGTGTCAGTACTGGTGTGTGTGTGATGCACATGTGCCAGTTTCACAGTGTGTCAGTGTAAGGGTGTTAGTTGCACTCAGTAGCAGTGACTGTTGGGGTGTCAGTGTGGGGGTGTCCATGTCACTGGGTAATAGTATGTGTTGGGATGTCAGTGTGTGTGTCAGTGTCATTGGATAGTAGCAATACGTGTTGGGGTATCAGTGTCACCACATAGCACTACATGTTGATGTGTCAGTGTGTGTCAATGTCAGGCCCTCTGACTGGAGAGGAGGGCACAGTGGGTAATTGCCCCAAGGCCTGGAGAGTCAAAGGGGCCTGGAACTCTCAGATGTCACAGCTGCTACTAAAGCAACCATGGCAGTCAGCGCCTCAGGCCCCTTTGAATGGCCACCAGACCACCAGAGCACCATTCCATATAGCTCTGAGAGATAGGGGTGCACACCACAGTTTGGGCAGCACTAAGGGTTGACTGCACTCAGCTCCGCCCCTTCTACTAAAGACCTTACCCCTTCCAGGAGTGCAGAGATGCCCTCCCCATCTTGCCTTGGGGCCGCCAGTGGTTGTTGGCCCTGGTGGTAGGTGTTAGGGTGTCTGTGTCACTGAGCAGTAGCAGTATGTATTGGAGTGTCAGTGTGTGTCAGTGTTAGGGTGTCACTGTCATTGGGCAGTGGCAGTAGGTGCCAGGGTGTCAATGTCACTGGGCAGTAGCAGTAGGTACTAAGCTGTGGGTGCCAGTGTCACCCTGTAGCAGCAGGCGCTGGGGTGTCAGTGTGTGTTAGTGTTAGTGTGTCAGTGTCACTGGGTAGCAGTAGCATTGGGGGGTCTGTGTCACTGGGCAGTAGCAGCAGGCGCTGGGGGGTCAGCGTGTGTCAGTGTTAGGGTGTCACTGTCACTGGGCAGTAGCAGCAGGCGCTGGGGGGTCAGCGTGTGTCAGTGTTAGGGTGTCACTGTCACTGGGCAGTAGCAGCAGGCGCTGGGGGGTCAGCGTGTGTCAGTGTTAGGGTGTCACTGTCACTGGGCAGTAGCAGCAGGCGCTGGGGGGTCAGCGTGTGTCAGTGTTAGGGTGTCACTGTCACTGGGCAGTAGCAGCAGGCGCTGGGGGGTCAGCGTGTGTCAGTGTTAGGGTGTCACTGTCACTGGGCAGTAGCAGCAGGCGCTGGGGGGTCAGCGTGTGTCAGTGTTAGGGTGTCACTGTCACTGGGCAGTAGCAGCAGGCGCTGGGGGGTCAGCGTGTGTCAGTGTTAGGGTGTCACTGTCACTGGGCAGTAGCAGCAGGCGCTGGGGGGTCAGCGTGTGTCAGTGTTAGGGTGTCACTGTCACTGGGCAGTAGCAGTAGGTGCTGGGGTGTGGGTGCCAGTGTCACCTGTAGCAGCAGGCGCTGGGGTGTCAGCATGTGTCAGTGTTAGGGTGTCAGTGTCACTGGGTAGCAGTAGCATTGGGGTGTCAGTGTCACTGGGCAGTAGCAGTAGGTGCTGGGGTGTCAGTGTGTGTCAGTGTTAGGATGTCAGTGTCACTGGGTAGCAGTAGCATTGGGGTGTCAGTGTCACTGGGCAGTAGCAGTAGGTGCTGGGGTGTCAGTGTGTGTCAGTGTTAGGATGTCAGTGTCACTGGGTAGCAGTAGCATTGGGGTGTCAGTGTCACTGGGCAGTAGCAGTAGGTGCTGGGGTGTCAGTGTGTGTCAGTGTTAGGATGTCAGTGTCACTGGGTAGCAGTAGCATTGGGGTGTCAGTGTCACTGGGCAGTAGCAGTAGGTGCTGGGGTGTCAGTGTGTGTCAGTGTTAGGATGTCAGTGTCACTGGGTAGCAGTAGCATTGGGGTGTCAGTGTCACTGGGCAGTAGCAGTAGGTGCTGGGGTGTCAGTGTGTGTCAGTGTTAGGATGTCAGTGTCACTGGGTAGCAGTAGCATTGGGGTGTCAGTGTCACTGGGCAGTAGCAGTAGGTGCTGGGGTGTCAGTGTGTGTCAGTGTTAGGATGTCAGTGTCACTGGGTAGCAGTAGCATTGGGGTGTCAGTGTCACTGGGCAGTAGCAGTAGGTGCTGGGGTGTCAGTGTGTGTCAGTGTTAGGATGTCAGTGTCACTGGGTAGCAGTAGCATTGGGGTGTCAGTGTCACTGGGCAGTAGCAGTAGGTGCTGGGGTGTCAGTGTGTGTCAGTGTTAGGATGTCAGTGTCACTGGGTAGCAGTAGCATTGGGGTGTCAGTGTCACTGGGCAGTAGCAGTAGGTGCTGGGGTGTCAGTGTGTGTCAGTGTTAGGATGTCAGTGCCGGAGTCTGTGCCCAGCCTGTGCCGCCGCCCCCCGTGTTACACGTGTCCCCGGGGAAAGAGCCCCATTCCCCTCTCCTGGTCAGCCCCAGCTGAAGACCTTCCCCTGCTGCTCCCCCTGATGTTACAGGGAGGATCCCATGCCCACTCCTCCTTTGTTTGACTGAGCCCCAGAGTGGGTCAGAGTGAGACTAACCTAGAGAAACCACCAGAGCAGCCAAGCAGGGCATATGGCCTCCTAAGCTGCCAGCACTAAGCTCTGATTCACCCTGTCGTCTCTCTGTCCCATGGTGTATGTTAAACACAGGGTGCGTGAGAACAATTTCTAGGTTATTATCCGGCTGCTGAACGCACAGGCAGGGAGAGGTACTTGTAGGGGACAAACATATACTGTGAAACAGTCATTATATAAGAACTGTATTTTTCAACAAGAAATTTAGACTGTACCTATCTTAGGAAAGACTAGAGCATTTATTTACTGTACCATATGGCTATAGGGGGAAGGGAGGAAGAAATGTCTGCCAATTGCTAAACCAGTGGCAGATATATGTATTTCTTGGTTCATTCATTATATCCACGAGTCAGAATAACACAATGAATGTTTAACAGGTTCAAAAATTCAAATGATTCCCATTAATTTCCATTGATTATTTTAGCCATCACATATTTGTCTATGGGACTTTCAAGGTTTTTTCACCAATTAGGCTTGAGACGTTTTCCTTTTACTGCATGATCTGAACAGAGTTTAAATGGTTCCAGAAAACACATCAATATAACAAGCAAGGGTCTATTCTCAGTACCATGCTCAAAACACAATAGTAATTTTATCACTCCCTTTTTTTTATTTTATACACTAAAAAAATAACCAGATTGAAATTTGGTAATTGTTGCTGACCCATGTTCCTACCTCTGTTAATATCTATGCAGATCTTACAGTCATTTAAAAAGGTCATAGGATTTAGTTTTATTTTAAATGACAACGTTTATGCTTGTAAAGAAAAAAGCATGCAGCATATGATCCTAGAAAACAGTACTAAAATTAAATGCAAAGGGATATGTTATTGCAAAATTGAACATGCAAAAAGTTACAAAATTCAGTTAAGGTTCCCACAGCAACGATAGATTGGCCATGGCACACACATAACAGATGTAATATTTTGGGGGCTGTGCTGGTAAAGATATGCTTTAATATGACAAAGTTAATATTGCATTGGTGATTTTAACCACAGAATTTCCTGTGGACTTTCTTTCCTTAGTCTTGTGTGTTCAGCATTAGCCAGATGTAAATTCTGAGTAAATTATTGAGAATGCTGGGAGATGGTGCTGTTTAGCTTTGACATAATGAGATGGTATTGCCTGTATACTAGCTGTACTTTTAATCTATGTTGGTTCACCAGCTCTTCCAGTGATTTAAAAATAGATGTTGAATAACAAGAGGTGATAATACATAGATCCTTACTGAATAATGTGGGGGAGAGGCATAGTTGCCCATAACTACCCTCTGGTTCAGTTTGAAAGAACCTGAAACATTTAAGGGCATTCACCTTAGATGTTTCTTTTCAGGATAGGCATATTTGGTATTCAGTGTCATTGCACACCATAAGTACAGATGTACTTTATCTCTTGGCAGGACTTCTCCCTCCTATAGAAAAATCCTTTGCACGTAAGAAGAGAGCCATGACTTTGATTCATCTGCACCCACCTAAAGCCTAATTTGCTTCCAAAGAGTTCTGAGTCTGAATAGAAACACCATAAAATGGCTCGAGCCCATTGTGGTTTGGAAACTGGATACTCCTGAAAATCTGACCCAATTTATTTTTAAAAGGTAATGAAAGTGCTAACAGCCAAATGCTATTGTGGCAATGTGTAGTATTATGGGCAAATGTAGTACCATTTATATTACCATCTCGAATTTTTAGAAGTATTAGTGCCCAATCCTGCTTCTATTGAAAACAGTGGCATTTTGATACTTACTTCAGTGCCAAGAGGATTGGGCCTTAGAACTGTGAATTTTGGATTAAAATGATATTGTCGTTCATTAATTGCTGAATTCAATCATTCTGGCATTGAAAATTTGATAATATTAGCATGCAAATGATTTCAACTAAACTCAGCATATTTTCACTCTCATCATGCCCAACATTTTGTTTAAATAAATAAATAAGACAGGTACATTCTTGTGTTATATGAAGGGTAAATAACACTTCCTTATTGACTTTCTTCCTACCATTCATGATTTTATAGTCTTCTATCATATCTGCTCTTTATATGTCTTTTTCAAGTTGAACAGTTACAGGGTGCATCTCCACAGCAGGGTTTAACTCAAAATAAACTACACAAATTGAGCTATATCAATTGCATAGCTTATTTCGAAATTGGGAGTGTCTACACAGCACTTATTTTAAAATAGAGCACTCTTCCTCCAACTTCCTTACTTGTCGTACAATGAGGATTACAGGAGTCTGAGTAAGAAGTGCTCCAGCTTGACAATATTTTGACATTATTTCAAAATAACTGCCTGCTGTGTAGACACAGACTAAATTATTTCAAAATAATGTTGCTGTGAGGACGTACCCTCTGGCTTTTAAATCTCTTCTTGTAGGGAAGCTAGTCTGCACCTTTATTCATTTTTGTTACCCTTTTCTGTGCCATTTCCATTACATCTATTTTGAGACAGGACATCCAGAACTGCAAACAGTATAAGGTGTTGGTGTACCATGGATTTATATAGTGGCATTATAATATTTTGTTTTATTATCTAACATTTCTTAACATTTCCTAACCATCCCATAGATTTTTTTGACTGTCATTGCCATTGCGCAGCTATTTTTAGAAAACTATGCACAATGACTCCAAGATCTCTATCTTGAGTAGCAACAGCTAATTCAGACCTCATCCTTTTGTATCTACAATCGGGATTATGTTTTCCAATTTGCATTATTTTGCCTTCATCAGCATTGAATTTCATTGCCCAGTCATCTAAGTTTATGAAATCCCTTTATAACTCTTTGCAGTCTGCTCTGTACTTAACTGTCTTGAGTAATTTTGTATCATCTGTAAATTTTGCCACCTCGCTTTTTACCCTAATTTCCAGATCGTTGATGAACATGTTGAACCGCACTTGTACAGATCCCTTGGGCAGACACCACTATTTAAGTCTTTTCATTCTGAAAACTGAACAGTTATTCCAATCCTGTTTCCTGCCTTTTAACCAGTTACTGATCCAAGAGAGGACCTTCTTTCTTATTCCATGGACTGTTTACTTGGTTTAAGAGCTTGGGCGAGGGACTTGTCAAAGGCTTTCTGAATATAATATTCACTGGATCAACCTAGTCCCTATGTTTGTTAACCTCTTCAAAGAATTCTAATAGAATGGTGAGGCATGATTTCCCCTTACAAAAGCCATGTTGACTCTTCCTCTAACAAACCATGTTCATTTACATGTCTAATAATTTTGTTCTTTACTGTAGTTTAAATCAGTTTGTTTTGTATTGATGTTAGGCTTACCAGCCTGTGATTGCCAGGATTGCTTCTGGGGCCTCTTTAAAAATTGGCATCATGTTATCCAGCCTCCAGTCTCTTGGTACAGAAGATGATAGGTTACACATCACTTTTTAAATTTATGAATGTGGTCTGATACATTTAGATAACAGCATTAATGTTAATTTGATACATGTTGGCTATGTCTAGACTGGCATGATTTTCCGCAAATGCTTTTAACGGAAAACTTTTCCGTTAAAAGCATTTGCGGAAAAGAGCGTCTAGATTGGCACGGACACTTTTCAGCAAAAGCACTTTTTGCGGAAAAGCGTCCGTGCCAATCTAGACACACTTTTGCGCAAAAAAGCCCCGATTGCCATTTTCGCAATCGGGGCTTTTTTGCTCAAAACAAATCTGAGCTGTCTACACTGGCCCTTTTGCCTGAATGGGAGCAGCATAGTATTTCTGCAAGAAGCACTGATTTCTTACATGAGATTGTCAGTTTTCTTGTGAAAATTCAGGCGGCTAGTGTAGACAGCTGGCAAGTTCTTCCGCAAAAGCAACTGCTTTTGCGGAAAAACTTGCCAGTCTAGACACAGCCATTGTGTTACCCATTTTCTTCTTCAACTTTTGTCATTTCTGCCTTTGCAAATGCAGACTGTCATTTACTAATAGCCATAGATTTTTGTTTCTTTACATTGTCTGTCCTTCCAGACCTTGAGGGTTGCTGCTTCTAATTGTGCATTCCAGCCCAGTTGCAGATGCTAAAATCATATGTATGTCTCATCTATGGGTAGTAGGATCAGTACACTTCTGTAATATTAGTTAGCTGAACCATTGTGTTGCCTGCATTTTAATTGTATTAATCTTTGCTCTCAAAGCACATTATTTTGGAGAGTAACCAGATGCAGCCTAAATTGCATACAAAAGGAGATCTACAAATGGGCTTCTAAATCTGGGCTACTGTAAAATTTAAAAAAATCAATTAACTGGAGAATCTATTCGGTCCAATCCACCCACAACCATCTGGAGCAATAACTAAAGGTTACCCATGAAATTAATAGGCAGCAGATTTAAAACAAAGACGTGTTTCTTCACACAATGCACAGTCAATGCTTGGGGATGTTGTGGTGGCCAAAAGTATAACTGTGTTAAAAAAATAATTAGTTAAGTTCATGGAGGATAGATCCATCAATAGCAACCCCATGCTCTGAGTGTTTTTAGACCTTGGATTGCCAGATGCTGTGAGTGGACAATAGTGAATGGATCAATTGATAATGCCCTATTCTGTTCATTTTCTTTAAAGCATCTGGCATTGAACACTATTGGAAGGATACTGGGCTAGATGGATCTTTGATCTGACCCAGTATGTTCATTTCTTATGTTCTTACGTTCTAAAAAATATACCTCATGTTTATATTCAGGATTACACATGTATATAAAGAAAAAGCTTTCAAATACTAGCAATAAATGCTTCTAGATAGCTACCAATTCATTATGATGACGGATGCTACACTAATGTTTAAAATAAATAATACTGTACAGTTGAGTAATAAACTGTACTTGGAAATAAGATGTGGCAGTACTGATAGCTATTAAGGGCAAATTTCTGCTGAAATAAAACTTTAGTGAAAAATGGAAAAATATAATCCTTTATCCCCATTTTCCAAATATTGCCAGTGGTTAGGCAGTTGATAGTGTGTGATTCCTTTATTTGCAGATAGCATTATATGCTGTGATTCCTGAACTCTGAAGCGAAAGACCAGTGGCCTAATATATGGAAACTTTCTTACTTTTTACCTGATTTATTTCACAGTTTATTACCTTTGTTATTATTATTTTGAATTTGGTACTGTTTGCCATTGGAACTACTGTTGCAGAAGTCATGAAAGAGGAAGAACAGAAATGTTTTAAAATAAACACAGCAAAAATATGTGAGGAGAATGTTCAGTTGAAAAGAGAGAAGGTAAGATAACTACACTTCATGTGCTTATGTATGTAAATTTTTTAAAAAAATCTAAAGCCTATGAAACATTTTCCAACTCAGATCCTCTTGAATAATCAGTGTGAAAATTTTCATAAATAAGAAGTAAGTATACACTTTATTGTGATTGGAGGATACAATGACAGTAGAGTATGCTATAAGCAAAGAGTAAAAGCCATATTCAAGGGGGTGAACTAGTGCAACTCACTGAGATCACTTTGAGGATTACATCAAGGCTAAATTTGCCTGTAAGTGTGCACTGAAATGAATGATATAAAATCAACCACCGTTAACCATGTAATTTATGTATTGGAAAATATTGTCTCACACTGGAATGTTTTATAGTAAGGTAATTATAGTTAAACTAATCTTAAAAATATAAAACTTTATTTTAATAAATTATGTTGATGCCTTGTTCAAAACCCAATCTGCCACCAGCACTCGTTGATATCAGTGGAGTTAATCATGGAGTAAGTATGGTATTCCATTCAATAGATGAACTTCACTCCCAGGGTGAAGATCAGTATTAGGCCTATTCATCACTAAAGACTTATAAAAGCCCTCAAAATAGGATGCATCATCCTTGTGCTATGAAGTTATTTATATGCGTGTGATGGTCTTCTCCCAGTGGTGAATTACACCCCCATGCCAATAAGAGTGGCAGAATCGGACCCTTAGTAACATCTTACTCAGAAGTTTCAGGAGTAGCCATGTTATTCAGTAAGGCTACGTCTACACTGGCCCCGATCCTCCGGAAAAAGTGCCCTTTTCCGGAGGGTCTTATTCCTACTTTTAAAAGCCGGAAAAAAGCGGCGGACCTTTTTATTTAAATGCCGCGGGGGATATTTAAATCCCCCGCGGATTTCCCTACGACGACTAGTGAAATTTACATGCCTCTTCCGGAAAAGGGGCCAGTGTAGACAGCTCAAGCTACGCAATTTGCATAGTGCAAATTGCATATTTCATTTTGAGTTTACAGTGCAGTGTAGACATAGCCTAACTTTAAAAAAAGCTTAAAAAATTAGTGGTCCTGTAGCACCTTCGGCTATGTCTACACTGCACTGTAAACTCAAAATGAAATATGCAATTTGCACTATGCAAATTGCGTAGCTTATTTCGAGTTTAAATAGGCTATTTTGAAATGTGATGCTGTCTACCAAATTTTGAAATAAAGTGCTATTTCGAGACTTGCCAAAATAGCGTGTCCACTATATTTCAGAATAGTTCAAAAGATGCAGGGTAGATATTTCGGGATATCCCGAAATAGCTTTGATGTGTAGACATACTCTTAGAGACTAACAAAAAATATAGATAGTATCATGAAAGCCGACAAAAGCTCATGATACTATCTATATTTTTTGTTAGTCTCTAAGGTGCTACAGGACCACTCGTTTTTAAAGCTTTTTTCAAAGCTTACTCAAATTATTCTACTTCTTTCCCAACGTCTTACAGTTACAGTTCCTTAATAATTTCATATGTCCTCCTCTAGCTTGTGACTAGATCCTACTGAGTTTCATTAAAAGATTAATGATTTATTTTAACCTAAATACATTCTACTTTATTTATTGCCTATTTTCAAAGTGCAATGGAGAGTTATAGTTGTTAATTTGTTAAATGTTTATATAAAAAAGCATATATATTGCTAATATATCTCAATATTTATAAAAATAGTTTTCTGAAATATAGAAAAATCAGAAATTACCAGTGGAATTATTTGGTAAAATTCACAGATAAATAATTATTAGAAAAGCTTTAATTTATTACACATCTAGAAATAAAAAAAACTTGCCTAATGTTCTTAAATATGAAGCTAGCTCACTAGTTGCTGTTTAAGAGCACATTTTCCCAGTCTTTTTTGAAAATGGTCTCTTTGGTTCAGGTAGATAGGCATGCAGTTAAAGTGATATTTACAGATATACTACTTCATTATCACATTCCTGAGCCAAATTCCTGGTGTATTTGTAAAAATAGGATGTCCTTAAGGTGGAAAACTTTGTTTTAAATTTTAAATGCACGTTTGACTCCTTGAATGCCCAGTTATACTAGTGCAAATTGTCTGTAGCCAATATGGTTGTACAGGTAAAAATAACCGAAGTATTTGTCAGCATATATTTACTCCAAGGACAAGTGGGCAGAATTATAGTTCCCAAACAATTTACATCTTGTTGAAACTCTAATGATTTTAGAAATGAGCTTAGCTTTTTGGTGTTGTGTCCCTCATACTTATTGGCTACGTCTACAATAGCATGATTTTCCGAAAATGCTTTTAACAGAAAAGTTTTCCGTTAAAAGCATTTTCGGAAAAGCACGTCTAGATTGGCAGGATGCTTTTCCGCAAAAGCACTTTTTGCGGAAAAGCGTCCGTGGCCAATCTAGACGCAGTTTTCCGCAAAAAAGCCCCGATCGCCATTTTCGTGATCGGGGCTTTTTTGCGGAAAACAGTACTGTGCTGTTTACACTGGCCCTCTTGCGCAAATGATTTGCGCAAGAGGGCTTTTGCCTGAACGGGAGCAGCACAGTATTTCCGCAAGAACACTGACGATCTTACATGAGATCGTCAGTGTTCTTGCGGAAATTCAAACGGCCAGTGTAGACAGCTTTTCCGCAAGTTTTTCCGCAAAAGCAGATGATTTTGTGGAAAAACTTGCCAGTCTAGACACAGCCATTTTGTGTTTGAACCTCGTTGGGAAGTCCTAAATCCAGGCAAGAGAGGAGGAAAAAGTGGTTTTTTTTAGTTCTGTCTTTCTCAGGATTTTGCACTGGCAAGTATCACCATAGTATCAGAGTATAGGATCTGCTGATAAAAAGTATGACAACTGAAGGGTTTGACTGCTTGCTTTTATTAGAAGAACAGGTGTACTGGGTCAGATCAAAGGTCCATTTAGCTTAGTATCCTGTCTTCCAACAGCAGCCAATGTCAGTTATCCCAGAAGGGGTGAACAGAAACAAGTAATCATCAAGTGAACCCTCTCCTGTGATCCATTTCCAGCCCCTGACAAACAGAGGCTAGGGAAACCATACATATACATATGGGAACACTATATGATTTGTTGATTTATAGAACAATAGAGAGCTACCAAAAGAGGCATGATAAACTATCAGTTTGTTCAATGAAGAGAGAATAATATGAGTTTTTGAAGCAAAGTTGTGTGGCCATCTGCAGAAAATCCAAGTGTGGAAGAGCCTGACACCCTGTGGCCCATCAGAAAAGGAACATGTGATGGACATGTCATATAAACATACACTTACGTGCCATATTCCCTTCAGAGGTCTAGGTTATCAACCATGATGGGGAAAAATCCCACACTGCCTTCTAGAAATTATCTTTCATTTGGATGAGGTAACTGTGACTAGTGTTTGTCATTCTTTTCACAAACTATTCTGGTATGGTTTCCTGTTCTTTTCTTGTCACCTTAATAATTAAATATTATTTCAGCAACAACCAAATATTCAAGCACAGCAGCTCTGAAAAAAAAGTTTAGGTGGAAACAACATATATTCCCATTAATCAGACATGGAGGAATATCTTGGAGAGGGTGATTGGTCATAAACTTTTTGCCCAAGTCATTATCACTGTTACTGTGGATTGACCCTATGGTAGTCTGCTGGCCAGGAACCCTGAGCCAGAGCTCAGTCATGCCAGCTCCAGCAGGAAAAGGTAATTGGAATTGGCTGAGCAAACCCACACCTGAGGGCTAAATGGGGACTCTGGTTGCGGACCTCATTAGCCACAGGGCTATATAAGGCTAGGAGGAAGGGAGGAAGGGGAAGAGCCAGGAAATAGAAGACTGAGCTCCCCTGCTAGCAGGGAACCTAGCAGTCTCTGAAGTTCTGTACGTAGAAAGTGGTGGGAACTGACATGGACAATAAAGGGAATGGGTGATTGCACCAAAATAAGGGTCTCAAGTTGTTTTGTGGGCACAAAGGGGGCCACAAGTCAAGGGGCCAGTGTGCAAACCTTGTTACATGTAGGGTATCATCTGGGGGCAGCGAATGTGGTTGCTGGCCCAGAGATGGAGGAGACTCTGCAATTGTTTATCAAGCAACAATACAAGATGCAGAAGACCCTGCAAAGCTTTCAGCAGTCCCACCAGTTGAGAGATAGGCCTTATTAACCTAGCAGTCAAAACAACAGCAAAGTCTGTGAGACTTTATCAGGGAGCAGAGCAGCATGCAGCAGCAACTCCTACAAGTGGTGACTCCCATGGGAGGGGAGGGCACTCGGCTGCCAGTCCTAGGACACTGCAAAATGGGCCTACCAGATGATTCAAATGCCTTCCTAGGAATATTCAAGTGGGTAGCCATTGGTGCCAAATAGCAGATAGCCAACTGGGTTGTACACTGGCTCCATACCTACCAGGAGAGGGCTCAGGCAGCCTATGTGGCCTTGAGCCATTAATGGGCCTTGAGCCATGAATGGGCACAGAGCTATGAGACAATGAGGGCAACCATTGTAGACTGGATGGGCCTATTGGCAGAAACATATCAGCAAAAGTTTCAGTCATCCAGATGGACAGTGGCGGTGTGACCCTGGGCATTTGCCCAAAAGCTAGAGGATTGGAAAACCCGGTGGCTGAGACCTGAAATATGAACAGTGGGGGAACAATGTACACACTTGTCCTTGAACAACTGTTTCACACTCTTCCCGAGAATATCTGCATGTGGGTCAGTCGCCACCAGCCTGACACAGTGGATGCAGCAGTTGAGTTGAAGGAAGAGCATATGGAGGCAGATGTTCCCCACAGGTAGGGCTGATTCTATAAAGACAGAGTTGGGAAGGAAACAGAACCCACTCTTGGGAAAGGCCCAGAAAGGAATAACGGTGGGACTGGCACAATAGTTTGCCAGTAGTGCAGGAGAGCATGACACATGGATATGGAATGTGAATGGGACTCATGCTGGAGGGTGGAAAAAAGGACAGAGACTGTCAACTATCTTGGTGAGCATGGAGAAGAAATCGCAGAGGGATCTAGTACAGGGGT